CAATCTTCATGTAAAAGTGGCATATTTTGGGGTGGCATATTCTGCTGCCCTTCAACTATGAAGGGAAGCAGGAAAATAAGGCAGTGACTAGACCATTATTTGGAGTCAGGGAAACATTTTTGGTTTTATGTTTTGTTTGTTGATTTGTATGATTCAATGGGAGGGAGGGAATGGTGACATAAAGAGAGAGATCATTGTAGCATCTAAGTCCTTCAGTAGGTGGCACTGACTGGGACCCACTGTGCCAGTGGAAGGGCTGTCTGTAGACAGGAGCAATGAGTGATGTAGCGACAGAAAAAGGAGCAGAAGACATGGGCAGAGACCCAGGCTGGCTGGTAGTTTTGGTGCTGAGAAAACAAGAAAGGCCTTCTTTGATTTCTCCTTGCCAGTGAAATAGGAAGCAAAGTTACCAATTGAAAAACAGGGGCAAGAGAGTATAATGAAGAGTACAGGAGTGAGTTGTACTGAATCTATTGTATTCTTTTTCTTATTCTGAAAATCGCAGTATGAAGTCTGGGGCTGCTTGCATTATGAAGGAAGCACAGCACCAGAAACAGAGAAAAAGGCTAAAGTAAGCAATCCTGAAATAAGAAAATCCTTCAGAAGCCTGGAGATCATTTCTATAGACACAGACCTGAGTACCCCAAAAGGAAATGAGAAACAAATCCCAAAGTATATAAATTATCTTAGAGATCGACAGTTAAGCATCCACAGGACATCAGGGAGGAGGACTGGAACCTGCTGAACATGGGAGAGTAATAGTAGTATGATTCTCAAGCTTGTGTTTCCATATATGAAGCATAGATAAAATTGTACTTGTTGAGTTAGGTGACAAATTCTGTAGCAGCCTTGGAGAAGGGGCAGAGAGGTTAAGTAGAGCAGTTAGGGGGAATCTAATGATAACTGAGAAAATGTACATTTATCCAAGTGAAGTAATAAAACAAGGAAATATAGCTATTAAAGATGGAATAAGGATGAGATTTGATAAACTCTAAGATTAAAATTTAAAAAATTGTGAATACAGCTATGTATTTATAATCGGTTCTAGGTGGTGTCCTAAAAATATATCATTAGGTATTTACTTATTTCTTTATTCACTTGTATATTTTAAAAATCATATTATACAAATGTGTTGTATAAAATTAGTTTATGTGTAACAATCAATTCGAGAAAGCCCATAATGTGTGTGGAGCAAAGAGCTTTACATGAATTAACTTATTTAATGGGAACAACAACTCTATGATATATAGTTATTATACCTATTTTATAGATGAGAGAACTGAAGCATAGAGGCCTACCAGGATCTCACACTTAGCAATAAGTGGAGCTAGGATATAAACACAGACTGGCTCTAGTTCTTAGCCCTAGGACATACTGCATTATTTTCTAATTATAGACATTCGTGTAATATGTATATTAAAATAAGAATCTTAAATAAAAAGGTAGACATAGGAAACAGGGAGAAGTAATTGTACAATGACACTAATACAAGGGCCACTCAATAGACCACTGAGTTTCATAGTATTCAGGATGAAAACAGGAACATAATTTTCAAATCTTCAAATTGAGCATAACTGCTGCCTGTGGATAAATTATAGTAGGTACCAGTTTGCAATGACCCATCATGGATGTTTTGGGCTGAATTTTGTCCCCACAGAATTCATACTTTGAAGCCCTAACACCCAATACCTAAGACTGTGACTATATTTGGAGTTAGGTCCTTTAAAGATATGATTAGGTTAAAATGAGGCTGTTAGAATGGGCCCTTATGTTCTTTTAAGAAGGGGAAATTTGGACACACAGAAAACTGCCAGGAATACACGCATAGAGGAAAGAACATAGCAAGAAGGCAGCCATCTGTGAGTCAAGAAGAGAGACCTCAGGAGAAACCAAACCTGCCAACAACTTGATCTTAGACTTTCAGTCTCTAGAACTTTGAGATAATAAATTTCTGTTGTTTAAGCAACAAAATTGTGGTATTTTGATATAGCAACTGGAGCAAACTAAGACAATGGGGGTTGTAATTTTGGAACAAAGCAGTTTAGATGGACCTCAAGGCAGAAGTAGGAATTTTGACCAAGTTTATTGATCAATGGACTGTCAATGAAGAAAGGTTTAGGCCACATTATCACCTCTGTAGACCCAGACAACCCCAGCAGCTATCCAAACATGAAAGTTGAAATACAATGGTAATTATGTTAACTAACGTTTATGTACTGGCAATTTTCCCCCTGCACATTTCAAAGAAATGTGGGGGAAAAGCAAAAGATACTTTCATAATAACTGGACAACCCTTCATTATATGATTTTCTTTGCAAAATATATACATATATATATTATTTTTTCCCCTCCTATCTCTTATTTTAGCTGCATACTTTTGTCAAAGCAACTTGCAGAAACATATTCTGAAAACTGACATTTTCAGGCAGGTCCAGGAACTGTGTGGGGCACCAAGGCAACCCCGCTCAGCATGTTGACCTCTGCCTTCTCCTGCTCAAAGTTCTGATCTCAGCGAGAGATTTGAACTCATTATGAAGTAGAATTTTGCTTCCAGAACTAGGTACCATATGTCTTCCTTGGTGATAAGGTTGACATTTGCATCCATTGAAAATACATAAGTCAAGTCATTCTTGTGCTAATGCTCAACGGAAGAACCTGATGCTGACTTAAACCCAAGCATTGACAGATAGTAGCCAGGGGATCCTGCAGGTTTTCACATCAGCACATCTTCCACAAGGAGTAATTGTAAGGCAGTCATGCCTTGGAATTCTGAAACAGACAATAGACAAAGAGGTAAAAGGAAGTTAGGATTTTTGCTTTCTTTTCTCCTTTTGTCTCTTCCTTATACTGCTCATTGAGTAACTTTTCTCTCTATTCAATTTCCACTTGCTACTGTTTTACAGGCAATGACTTTCTCCACAGCAAATTTTAATAATCTACTTGTGCTCGTTTTAATTGGAAAATGTGAATATCACCTTATATCAGCATAGAGTTGAGGAAAAATGCTTTTATTGAGGTTTCTTATTGTTCGCTCCATTCTATCATTGATCTATGATGACCTTCAAGTAATACTTTGTGGAGAGATCAGAGTAAAAATTAAGTAGAATTAACCATTTGTATTATCCTCTGACTAATATGATTGTGATAAACTTAAAATTATAAGATAAAATAATGATCAACTTACACTTCTTTTTAATTGATATTTTACATCTTAAATATCTTTAAGATCTTGCTTTGTTATTTATTTGACTTTGGTCAAAGTACCTTATATCACCATCACAATAACTTCATATGTCCATCATCCTACAAACAGTGGAAATAATATTTCTTTATTTATTTCGTGCTCAGTTATTCATTTTGTTTTTTTTTTTTTTTTTTTTTTTGAGACAGAGTCTTGCTTTCTTGCCTAGGCTAGAGTGAGTGCCGTGGCGTCAGCCTAGCTCACAGCAACCTCAAACTCCTGGGCTCAAGCGATCCTGCTGCCTCAGCCTCCCGAGTAGCTGGGACTACAGGCACGAGCCACCATGCCCGGCTGATTTTTATATTATATATATTAGTTGGCCAATTAATTTCTTTCTATTTTTATGGTAGAGACGGGGTCTCGCTCAGGCTGGTTTTGAACTCCTGACCTTGAGCAATCCGCCCGCCTCGGCCTCCCAGAGTGCTAGGATTACAGGCGTGAGCCACCGCGCCCGGCCCAGTTATTCATTTTGAATCTTTGGACAAGTGTTTTATTCACTCTAAGAGGACAGGAAGAGGAAGGAAGATTTAATAAAACTTGAATTCATTATTTTTATGTTAATTGGATATTGGAATGCCTAAGACTTTTCTTTTAATCACTGAAGTCACAGGGAAAATTTTAGCCTTTATTTTGTTATTTTGTTGTTTTCTTCCAATGCATGTGGCCTGAAGATATTGCATAGTACAAAAACATAAGCAGTGTGGGGTCGTGGCAAAAGCAATGGGCAAGTAAGTTAAGAGGACCTGGCTTCTTGTCTTGCTTCTGCCACCGATTTTCTGTGTGATCTAAAGCAATTCATAAGGTCTGTTTCATTTTCCACATCTATAGACAGCAGTAATGAGACCTTGTCTATCTACTAAGTTTTTCGTGATTAATTAGGTAATGGATGAGAACACATTTAGAAAATATGTAAGTATAAAGTATTATTACTATTTTGTGTGTGTGTGTGTGTGTGTGTGTGTGTGATACAGGGTCTCACTGTGTCACCCAGACTGGAGTACAGTGGCATGGTCACAGCCCACTGAAACCTCCAACTCCCAGGCTCAGGTGATCCTCTTGGCTTAGCCTCCCAAGTAATTAGGACTACAGGCCCAGTCCACGATGCCCAGCTAGTTTTTTAATCTTTTGTAGAGACGGAGTCTTGCTGTGTTGCTCAGGCTGGTCTCAAACTCCTGGGTTCAAGTGATCCTCCCACCTCAGCCTCCCAAACTGCTGAGATTACAGACATGAGCTACTGTGCATGGCCTATACTTACTATTAATTGGAGGTTTACCCATTGTTTAACTTGAATGGAGAGTTAGCCTAAGCATGAAAAGATTCTTTCATAAGAAGTGATCGATATTGGACTGCACCTAACTTTACTTATCTTTTATTTTAATAATATTTTTATAGATTAAAAAACATACTTATGTAGCCTCATTTAATTTTGTGTACATCTTCTAGACCCCATCCTACTGGGCAAGGTATTGGTATGGTGGGTACTTGGTAGATGACTGAATGGATTTTGAATGAATGAGTTACCCAATAAATGCAAAAGTGTTAATATTTAATTTTCAAAAAAAGGAAAAGAAAATTAGATATTAAAGTATTTTAAAATAAGTGTATGCTACATCATTGAAAATAACCACTGAATGATTCACAGTAATGATGTAAATTGAGAAGAAAAAAATCTTTCTGCAGAATTATTTTGCCTTATTATTTTAATTATTTATTAGCATAATTTTCTTATCATTTCAAAACTTATTTTTTCCCTTGTCAGAAACACCTGAATGAAACCAGTTTAGCTTGGCGACTGTCATGAGCCAAAACCTTGGGAAATTTCACCTATTCTATCTGCATTCAGGACATCAGGAAAGGCTTAGGCGTAAACAGGTAAGACAATATACATCAACCTGAAACTGAATCAACCAGTCCTGATCAAATCTAAAATTCAAAACTAGAGCTGTCCTTAGTGTAATAGAAGAGTCAGAAGGTATACCTCTCTCCGTCTTTTCCCGCCTCCATTCTTTCCTTCCTTTCCTTTGTTTTTGCTTTGCATCAGTTCTTTGACTCTTTTTTATTCCCTGTGTTTATAAATGATTGTCCTTTCCTGATATTCCACAGCCATTGCCCTTTACTTTCAGATAAGCAATTTCTCTCTACTTTAGACTAAAGAAAGAACACAAACATTGAGACTGGTCCTGTCTACCATTTCCTTTAACCATCTTCTTGCCATTGATATTACTAAGATTTATCAATACTTTACAGGATATTGCTTTTAATTCTTTTTGTTTTTTCTTATACTTAGATCCTTGACTAAGTATGACTAGTATTACCACCCATATAATATTGAGTCATCCAAATAAAATATGAATGTAAGTAGCTATCCATATAGCAAAAATTACTTATCTAGTTTTTCCTTGATAAGTTGACTGTGGAGGTCTAGTTATGTACTTAAAAGCAATTATACTCTCGATAGATATTTTATTTCAATGGAAAAGATAACTGGAGTTTTGAAAAGTGAAATATTTGATGGTTAAAAAGTATTACAGATAATACTATAAAGCTCTAACATTTAATGAGAAAACATATCAGAACCATGTATACTGGAGTTTTTAGCCCCAGTTTTCAAGGTTCTATTCTATTTTCACCATATAGTATTTAGATTATATTTCTCAATTTTATTTCTATAACATATTATTTATGTACTTTCATTTGAAATAGTGGTATAATATTGCCTTTATTAAAAAAATTTACTTATAAAGCTTTATAAAAGATCTATATAATGATACATCACAATAATTGCATTTAAATTGAGACTTGTCTAACATTAAGTTTTTTTTTTTTTTTTTTTTGAGACAGAGTCTCGCTTTCTTGCCTAGGCTAGAGTGAGTGCCATGGCGTCAGCCTAGCTCATAGCAACCTCAAACTCCTGGGCTCAAGCAATCCTCCTGCCTCAGCCTCCCGAGTAGCTGGGACTACAGGCACGAGCCACCATGCCCGGCTGATTTTTATATTATATATATTAGTTGGCCAATTAGTTTCTTTCTATTTTTATGGTAGAGACGGGGTCTCGCTCAGGCTGGTTTTGAACTCCTGACCTTGAGCAATCCGCCCGCCTCGGCCTCCCAGAGTGCTAGGATTACAGGCGTGAGCCACCGCGCCCGGCCTTAACATTAAGTTTTATAGCTGAAAAATAAAATATAATATTTTATCCAAGCCTGGTGTTAAAATATTTTATTCATATCAGAATCTATTATTTCAATTGTTTTATTCTTGTTATTCTATGCTACATTTGCTTATCTGAATTTTTATCCATTTCTCCCTCTATGTATATATGAAACAACTTTCTTATCTACCAATATAGATAGTATAATCTCAATGTAATGAAATTTTTAATTAACCTCTCATATTTGAAACCCATAACTTCAATTTTCCTGCATTGCAAGATAATATATTTTCTCCAAATATAGATATTTCTGGGAATTTAACTCTGAGAAATATCCCTATATTTTAAACTTATGACTAAAATGCAAATTATTTCCCACCTATTGTACATTTGTGCCATGGCATGCAAATCAAGAACATAAATTTCTCAAAGCATATGTAAACAACTCAGTAAATGTAAAATGTATACTATATATATGTAAATTGATGTATTATGAAGTCTAATACTCAGCAAAGGTATTAAAATTAAAATATTTGCATTCATATGTGTGTCTGCTGCCAAATACCATGCACTACAAGCTTTTTTTTTTTCTGAAACAATTAGGTTTACCCATCTCGTTTGTATTTTCTCACCCTATTAATCTAACAAAGTGTAGTTAATGTAAATAAAAATTCACTGAAAGTTAGCAAGACTAAGAGTACAAACTCAGATTTTATTTCTTTGTGGCTTTGTACAAGTAAGTCACTTACATTCTTTTACCATCTTTGGCTGCCAACCTCCATATCACCCTCTCCTGGAAGTCCTGCTGTATCCCCCCAATAATAATTGATCTTTCTTTTTTCTGCATTTTCATTATACAGTGTTTGACCATAGGATATACCACATTTTCCTCCTTATGCTTTGATTTAGGTTCATTTCTCTGACTAAATTGTAAATTCTTAGGGGTTAGGGACCAGACCTTTTCCTGTAGTGTCCCTCAGAACATTTTGGATTAAATGTTTAATGGCAAATTGTTAAATCTGAAACTATGAAGGGTCTGGATTATTACCCTAGTCGCAAAATAAAAAATTAGCATGCCACAGAAACTTGAGACCTCTAGATCACAGAAAAAAAAAAAAAGCTCACTAATGGAACATCTTGTTCCAGTCTCCACATGCCAAATATTTGCAAGAAATGCAATGAGAGCCAGATTTGCATGACAGGAGAGGAACTCTGAAGTATGAAACTTGGAGCTTATTATATAGGTTGCTGGCAGGTCTGACCTTCTTCCCCTTGGAAGAAAAAAGAGAAACTTTGCTCTGGAATGTAAATGAATTCTCTCGAGGAAGAGGAGAAGAAGGTCATTAAGTCACTACTCTGAAATGCAAAGAAATGGCTCCTGAGAGGTGTATCTCTGTATCACTCCAGAGTCTCTCTCTGTAGGCTTGCTATTCAATCCTTCTTTAACCCAAGTGCCAGTGCTCTTTGCTCAGAATGCTCTGATCATGCAAAAACATGAAAATATTCATGGGACATCATCTCCTGACACAGAAAAATAGGTGACATATAGGCTCAGAAACTGTTTTAGATTTAAAAAACCAAAAGAGACATGTCACCTAAATATAATATGTAATCTGGATTGGACATTGCATCTAAAAAATAAATATGAAAATATTGCAATTAAGACACTAATGGGGTAATTGGAAAAGTTTTAATATGCACTATATATTAGTTAATGTTATACATAAATACAATATAGAAGGTTAAATTTCTGAAATATGATCATTTTATTGAAGACATATAAGGAAATGTTCTTGTTCTTGGGATATACACACTGAAGTAGTCAAAGTTGAATTGTAATGTCGTCTATAACTTACCCTAAAATGGATCATAAGATAAAAATTTGAGAAAAGAGAAAAAATAAACGTGACTGAATTGGAGAAGTTGGTGAAAATATATGGGTATTCAATATACTATTCATGCAGCTTTTCCGAAGATTTAAACCTTTTCAAAATTAAAAGAAACTGAGAAAAGCTTACATTATGAAAACAGGAGTAGGCTGGGGATATGCCAGGCAAACTAGGAAATAAGATCACCTTATTTACAAAGTATATGCTATGTGCCAACTGTTGTTCTAGGTTCTGGATACAAAAGGTAAGGAACTTTTTTTTTCTTTTAAAGGAGCTCATCACATAGAGGAAAAACCAGGTTAACAGATGTGAAATTTGTTGTAGAGAAAGTGTTTTCATGTCCCTGTGCATTTTGATCATTCTGAATAAATTTTGCTGAAATTTGAGATCTGTACTAAATGATCAAACTATGGAAAGAAATTTAGAACTGTATAGGTAGGAAATGAGAGTTCCAGAGAGATTTACCTAACTCCAGAGGTTTGTGTTTATGTTATATTTCAAGAGGGGTCAGGTCTGGGACTATAGAGACATCTCTCTGTTGTAATGCTAGAAACAGTGGGCCTATCTGGCTGCTGAAGAGATTTATTTACATAGTAGAGGTTAGAGTTAGAATCCAGGATCCCTCCTCCTATTATATTTTTCAAATTCTCTCACTAGAAGGAGATATCCATATAAATAGCCGAAATTTATTTTTAACCATTCTTGCCTGTGATAAAGGCTGTACATATAGGATATCTGATCTGGCTTTTATTGCATTGCCCCAGGGATAAGAATTGTACCAGCGCTATTTGTTACAAACAAATAGAAATCTGTCTCTGATTATAAAAACCTAGCACATGCATTCAGGACAACGCCAATGATGATGAATGTTAAAAACCCAACAGAAATATATTAGCGGTTCTGTGTTCTATTAACTCAGAGAAGGGAGCTGCTACTGTCCTTCTGGATTTGTTCTGGAGCTTGAAGACTTACTAGCATTACAGACAAGAAGGAAAAAGGGTTCCCATAACAGTTCTCAATAAATGTGCATTTGAATTGGAACAGGTGGCATATTTTACTTTTTAAATTTATGAGGTAATACCTGTTCTTGTCTCTCTTCATCTTGAATGATCATGTGAAAAAGACCAACATAACAGTAGATATTACTTGGCAGACATTTAGGGAGACAGCAGGAACAGCAGAGAGCGTTCATGGGCTTCAGAGCCAGTCAGATGTGAGTTTGAGCTCAACTGTAGGAGCTTGGACCGGTTAATTCAACTCTGAGTACCAGTTATAATAGCTTAAAAATGAAATATTAATGTTTAAATCAAAGAGATGTTGTCAGAAGTAAATGAAATAACCTATGTGAAGTGATTAGTGTAGCACCTATAAATAATCAGTGCTAAATTTTGAGTATTTGTTCTCTTTCCTTCCTTTTAATCCTTTGTTTTATCATGTGGTAAGAGGCCATCACACTACAGGAAAAAGATGTTGAATAATTATAGGACGTTATTTCCACTGTTTACCTCTCTCTGCAAATATTTCATTCTTGAAATTGAGCTCTTTCTACAGTGATCTTATGGGGAGAATTGAGTACACATTATGAACCTGTAAAGAATGATTCTGCTTGAGTGAGTGGAATTAGGCTTTTGAGAATTCTTAAAGGAATCACAGAAATTGGAAGCATATTTTTGTTAGTTATCTACATTCAGGATTGCAAGTGATCTGAGTGTATCAGCCACATTATAAACTGTTGTTAGGTCAAAACAATTAAATTAATAGAGAAAATGCCATTTTACTTTTCTTCATTCATGTATAAATTTATATACTGTATTGAAATATATAGCTATTGCAGTATAGCTATTGCTATTGCAGCTATAGCTATTGCAGAAAAGAGCCTTTTCTCTTTGAAATTTCTATAGATATACAATGTAAAAAACAAAAGATATGTGGATATTTCCAACTACTTCAGAAGGTTTTTTTTGCTACAAAGATGATTATAACTTTCTTAGCAGTAATAAAGTATTATTTGAAACTGGTATCATCTTGGAAGAGCTGTGAAACTCAGACTTCAGGCATTCCATATTTCCAAAGCTAAGAACTTCTGGGCTTTCAGAATGATTTTAGTTGAATATATTTGGTTTGTTTTGTTAGGAGCTGAAAATCATTCATAATCTACTGTGTACATGGGCTAATATTTGTTTCTTCTCCCACCATTGTTTATGGAGTAACACCCATGGATAGAAAATTCCTCTGGACAGAAAAGAGAGTCATGTGTGCACATTAATAAAAGAACAGAAGAAAGACCACTGAAGGCAGTGATCTAATTTTTTAAATA